CTGCTCTTCAGTATGTCGGATCTTCCCAGATCAGGGATTGAACCTTTGTCTCCTGCATTAGCAGGCAGATTCTCTACCAATGAGCCACCAGGGAAGTCCCCCTAAGTTAGTTTTTAATGCATAACAGCATTCACAAGTAACTCGCAAAGTTTTAGTCCCACAGTAATAAATTTTCATTCAAACTTTAGCTCACTGATGGAGTTTCCAGGATGTAAAACTCCAAAGATTTCATTAAGTTACAAATAGAAGGTTTATTGGTATGTGAAAGGTAATACTAAGTTGGTAACAATAATTCTTCATGACTTACATTGTTCATAATGCTAGTACTATTACCCTTATTACATATATGTTCTATGTAAGCCCATTATCACAGATTAAGCAAAAAATCAAGGATGCCAGAATGGTGTTGAAGTAGGAATTTGGCTATTTGGAGTTTCACAAGCAGAGCATGAAGTCAAAGCCAAATAGCTGACTTTGACTGAACACATGCCAAAGACGAACTTCAGCAGAGTCCTAACTCAACATAAAAGACATTATTATACTTTATTTCAAAATATATCTTTTTTTAAAATTGTTCGACAGTTCTCTGATTCCAAGCTCATCTAGTTTGACAAAGTGTTAGTTCAAAATTGCACTGGTTGGTTATCCAGAATTCCCTGTTTGGTCTCTCAGATTGGTAATGAAAATGTTTTAGACAGACAGCTATTATAAATTCAAAAATATTTTAAAAGTTGGAATGAAACATGTTTGTATGCGTTTTTGTTGTTTGGTTGCTCAGTCATGTTCATTTCTTTGCATCCTCCTGGATTGTAGCCCACCAGGCTACTCTGTCCATGGGATTTCCCAGGCAAGAATATTGGAGTGGATTGCCATTTTCTTCTCCAGGGTATGTATGTGTATATATATGTAAGTTTCTGGACTAATACTAAATTTGTGAATATGTACTGTGTATTGGGATACACTGACCTCTTTCTTATGTCAAAAATATATATCAAAGTTTAAAGTGCATGTCACAATAATTTCATATTTTTTTAACCTTTTAATTTTTTAATCCTATTTAAGTACCATAGTAAACAAGGGTACTATGTTATGAAGATATGTCACTAAATAATTATTAGTTGATATTTAAAGTACACTATGCATTAAATAGTTTTACAATCAGTAGTTTATTCAAGATGGATTTACAAATCCATCCTTTCTTATTTCACTCCTGGATACCAACAGTCACTCTATATACAAACTTAGAGATCATAATTTAATTGTCTACTTCACATTAAAATCCAGGATTGTAGAAACTGTAGTAATGTTCATGATGACTTTAAATGCTCAGTATTTAAAATGCCTTACTTTAAAATGATAAAATATAACAATGCATCATTTTGCAATATTGAGAAAAATCTCTGTTAATCTCCTTATCAAAATTATAAATTTCTAATTCTATGTACAAACTTTTATACAGTTGAAAAAAGTCATAGCTTTAAAAGTAGTCTGAGCAAGCTGTGTTAAATCATGGGGATAAATACTGCTAGTATAGCATATTTTTAAAACTACAATGAGACTATTATCATTGCATATTAATCCTACTTTGTTTTCATATGGTTATTATTTGTGACTAATTAATCAAACAACCAAAAACCTCATGAAAAGTTAACTGAAAAGCTGATAAAAAATAATTAAAACATTTTTGTTCAAAACAGCCAGTAGCTGAGGCAAAGATTCATCTTTTTTACTTTTACAATTACTTTTTTACTTTCTCCCACTTTAACTTTGAAATTCCAAAAGTGTGCTATGAATTCATGTTCCTTTAGTGTAGCTGGTTTATCTGACACATTCCTTCTGAGTTTGGCTGATGAGTCTCCACAATGGCACTTCCCATATATTTATCTAAACAGTTGAAAACACAGTGATGACTTTCATCTTTTTTTGTTTGGACCTTGAGATTATCGTACTAAGAGAAGTAAACCAGACAGAGAAAGACAAGTATCATATGATATCACTTATATGTGGAATCCAAATGAAAAATGACACAAATGAACTTATATATAAAACAGAAATAACCCCACAGACATAGAAAACAAATTTATGGTTACCAAAGGGGATAGGGGAGGGAGGATAAATTAGGAGTTCAGGATTATACATACACATTACTATACATAAAATAGATAACCAACAAGGACTTACTATATAGCACAGCAAACTACAGTCAATATTTTTTTAATAACCTATGTGAGAAAAGATTCTGAAAAAGAATATATGTGTATATATATATTCTTTCTATACATATTTTTGTGTATATATATATGAATCACTTAACACGTTAAACTATCACAACAGTGTAAGTCAACTCTATTTCAATTAAAAAAATGTTTAAATCCATTTTCTGCTCAAACCAAGATTGCTCAAATATTTTCAGTTTTACTTCTTTTCCCTCAATATCTTCCATTCTGTGTGTTTTATTTCTCATGTGTTTTATGGAGATACAAAAGGAAGAAAAGTAAGTGGTGATCGATCACTTTATATAGTAGAGAAATAGTGAATCATTACATTGTGAAACATCAGGGACTAATCCAGGGTTGTAAGTCAATCTTTTCATGACGTATGTAAGTCAAATCACTATGCTGCATACCTTAAATTTATAAAGTGCTGTATATAAATTATATCTCAATAAAACTGGAAAAAAAAAACAAGAAAAACAAAGGAGATAATTCTACAAAAAAAAAAAAAAAAAGCTCGGGAATAAGAGAAAGCTTTCATTTAAAACCTATTAGAATGGTTATATCATAATGAATTTCCTTGTTCACAAGATATTTGTATGTTTGATTTGAAAGAATGCAGTTCAACAAATACATTTTATATGTTACATTTTGTTTCTATGAGCATTTTAAACATTTTTAAAATGTTTGAATGGTTTTACTCAAATAAAATCATGCTGGTTTATTCCAATTCTCTTTGGAATGACACAGAAAAAATGGTTTTACTGCCTTGTTTTTCTTTCACAATTTAAACTTAATCTCTCTTGATTTCTTCAGAGTGATGCAACCAGGTGAAACAGAGGCTCTAAAGTCAAATCAAAGAGGAATTCTGGGGAAATTAAGCCACAGAGATAGTAATTTGATAAATAAAGAGAAAAATATCTACCATGGTATTTTTTAATAATGTGCACAAAACAAAAACTTGAATATTTAAAAGGCTCTTTTTTTTTCTTTTTATTTTTTTATTGAAGGATAATTGCTTCACAGAATTTTGTTGTTTTCTGTCAAACCTCAACATGAATCAGCCTTAGGTATACACATATCCCCTCCCTCTTGACCCTCCCTCCCATCTCCGTCCCCATCCCACCTCTCTAGGTTGATGCAGAGCCCCTGTTTGAGTTTCCTGAGCCAGACAGCAAATCCCACTGGCTATCTATTTGACATGTGGTAATGTACATTTCCATGTTACTCGCCTAATTATAATTTTTTTGTATACTTAATCATTTTTTATTTTCTTCAGTGTCTCCTATGGAGGCAGAAAAATGCATAGTGAGTATTACTACAAAGTGAGCTCCACTGGAACAAGCATAAATGATTTGAATTAAAGTTCATTTGGATTAAAGCTTATTCCAACAAAATCCTAATGGAAATTAGAATATGCTTTCCATTATATTTATAGATATATGAATTTTACCAGTATTGAGAATTTTAGCACACAAAGAACCATTTTGTTTACTATTCTGTTTTCTTTTTTTACTTAGAACCCTTTCCATTTCCCCAGTTGAGTCCAATAATGAATACATACAGTTGTATATTTGTATGGTATTGTGTTATTGAATTATTAAAGTACATCCAAGTTTTTCTTATTAGAAAAACAAGAATACAATTGACAACTTTTTAAAGCTATAATTCACATTATAGGCAACATCATTTTAAAGAAAGGAGGATCAGTATGGTCCAGGATGTATGAGGAGGTCCCCCAAGCATAACTTGGAATATTCTCTGTAGGAATCCATAAAACCTCCCTTTTAGATGTCGGGATTTTAGTGTGAAGATTAGAAGCATCTATCTTTTTCTTAGCAGTTGTTCACCAAAACTCCTATCAGCTCACTTATGTTAAATAAAGTGTTGTTAGCCTTCTCACTAATCCAATTCCCTGCAGATCTTCAGTATGTATTTAAGAGCTTGAATTGTGCTGTTCTTACACATTTTCTCCTATAAAACAAATAAATACACATTTAATATCTAACAGAGCACTTGAAAGCAGTTTACCACACACTTAAAAAGCAGTGTGTAATAAAAATCTCTGAGTCTCAAGACAAAGAGACATGCAACCATGTTAACAATCATATTTTTTTCAATTTTTATTTTATAAAAGGGTATAGTTGAATTACAAGTTGTCAGTTTCAGGTACTCAGCAAAGTGACTTAGTTATACATATGCTGCTACTGCTGCTAAGTCGCTTCAGTCGTGTCCGACTCTGCGCGACCCCATAGACGGCAGCCCACCAGACTCGTCTGTCCCTGGGATTCTCCAGGCAAGAACACTGGAGTGGGTTGCCACTTCCTTCTCCAAGTTATACATATACCTGCATCTACTCTTTTTCAGATTCTTTCCCCATATAGATTATTACAGAGTACGAGCAGAGTTCCCTATGCCATACAGTAGGTTTTAATTGATTATCTATTTTATATATAGTAGTATGTGCAAGTTAATCACATACTCACAACTTCTACTAACTTTGGGTTTTGCTTGTTCTCCTTTGTCCAGCTGCCTTACTTGTAAGATTAGGTTGTTTGAGATTTTTCGTTTCCTAAGGTAAAACTGTGTTGCTGTAAACTTCCTTCTTAGAACTGCTTTTGCTGCCCTGCAAAGGTTTTAAGTCACTGGGTTTTGTTTTCATAACAATCATGTTTCAATAATAAACATGAAGGTCATAAAACATTCCTCAAGGGATGATGCAGACAGGCCACACAGGGACAGAAATGCAAGCTCAGAAATGACATGTGCACCATGTTTGGAATGTACCTTGAGGCAGCGACTGGACTGGGAGTGCTGCCTGGCCAGGTGGGATGGAGATGAGTCCCTGACGCTGAAGGCTCAGCAGATGCTGCTGCTGCTGGAGTTGCTGCATCTGGAGAAGCTGCTGCTGGAAGACAAGCTGCTGGGCTGCCAACTGCTGCTGCTGCTGCTGGTGTCAGAAAACCCAACCCAGTGAACGAGAGGCAGAGTCTGTGCAAACAGTGCTCGCATGGAAAAACACACACTCGTTTCATTGCCCTGGTGCATGTGTGAGTGTCATCCCACCGTCAAAGTTCAAGGGAAGAATGTGAGCGAGTTCTAGATGTTCAGTTGCTTTTCCTTCAAATACTAACACAGCAGCAGAGAGAGAGGGTAGAACAAGGTCTAGAGAAAGGGTGTCACAGTGGTTCAGACGTTTTAAATGGGCTTATTTCAGATGATAATAAATTTATTTATACTCAAAGAATGACACTTGATGGAAACAGTCAACTTCAACAGCACTTTTTATTTTTTTTCCAACTCAGTAAGTTTGATCTGCAGAAGTCCATGACCGTAGTCTCTAGTGATCTATTAGTAAACTGGGATGTAGCCTTCATAGGACAGGCCTGTTAGCTCCCTCTCTTCCTCTTCTCTCTTACTGGAATATATTAAAGGCAGAATTATGTTCAAGGCCCAAAAAAGTGCCCTTATTATAAGGAAAAGTATAAGTTCCAATTTTGTGAGGCATTACAAGACAAACCAGACTCCTTGGACTCAGGAGGGTATGAGAAGGCAGTCACACTTCAGAGAAAGACAAGCTGCTGTGGAAGACCTTTCCTTTTTAGTTTGGGAAAAAGAGAAACTTCTGATGCGCTCACTGGAAAACAGACTGCATAATGGAGCAAGTCATGTGGATTGCCCAAAGCCTCCGGAGAAATAAGGGAGCAATTTCTATTCTGTAGTTGATGGCTGTCTGAAATTCTATTCACAAATCCAAACAGAAACAAAGCCTCAGGGGGTCAAAACTGTTTCCTGTACGTTTGCATAATGGGCAGCTTGAAGACAACAGCTCTGATACCTGCTGATCAATTTAACTACTTCAACATGTTTTGTTTGTATTATGTTTATATTTGATGCAGTTTGCTGACAAGTGCAAGCTAGGCCTGAGAAGCCAGCTTGTCAGTTTGATTTATGAGCATATCAAACTGGAACTTTCTACTCGCCACTCCAAACCTACAGTAGCAGTCATTAATCAGGGGCCTGTGACTTTGAAATCTGTGCCCAACCACTTTCTCCATTTTCCCCCCACAACCCCCAACAACAGGCTCAATTTGCATGCGTGTTCTCTGAGCTGCACCACTGAGAAAAACAAGGTTCCCTCACCAACTCAGATTCCCCGTGCATGCAAGATAACCAGTACTTTGTCCACCGCACAGCTTGCTCTTTGTACACTGTGATTCGTTAGTGAACATTAGACGACAGCAGCATTGGGTTATAACTCTTAAGTCCCATGCTACAAAAAAGGAGAACAGGAGAGTTCCACTGTCACTGCTATTAAGCTCAGTACACATGCATAACAGTGCATCGTGGACAGCAAGAGCCTGGTGATGGGAAGATCAAAGACTGCCCTGGCCTCTCTGTGCCCTTCCCAGCCTCGCGCTCCTCTGAGTGCAGGAGCTGGCCGGATCCTACCTCTTTTGCTTGCTTTCCAGGATGCGGCTGCTGCTGCTGCTGCTGCGGCGGCTGCTGCTGCTGCTGCTGTTGCTGCTGCTGCTGCTGTTGCTGCTGCTGCTGCTGCTGCTGCTGTTGTTGCTGCTGCTGCAAAAGCTGAAGATGTAACTGCTCTTGCTGTTTCTTGTAAAACTCTTGTAGTTGTTGCTGAATAAACCATTTTGACTTTAATAAATAAAGGCAAAAGTTGCATGTATTATAAACCTCCTAAACTCTTCTACACTGGTATAGGGTAGAGTCTCCATTAAGATTCAATCTCACAAGAACAACAACCAATATGCACTGGGTTCCAGGAGACAGATCTACATACATTTTTTTTTTCCCAAGCCAGTTCTGAAACTGCAATTCAGAGTCCAAAATATCCTAAATGAAGGGGTATAGAAAAATCTGTATTCTAAAGTGCTAGAGCCAAATGAATAGCCTAGATTATTATATCTGCCATCTACTCTACCATTTATAAGAACCAACTACAGAGTTACAGAAGATCAGGGTGACCAGTTCTTACCAGGAAAAAACTGTAATCCATCAGATGGACAGAAGAACATCAGAGTTAGAAATATAAGTAGTTGATCTGTGGTCACCATCACAGAACATAGCAAAGTAACTAAATCTATAAGAATTCAGCTAAAGCACATTATTTTCTCTATGAAAAATTAAGTCTATGACATAAAGTCCACTTCATATAAACTTGAGGCTCCAATAATATATATACATTAGGAACATCAGTTTTTTTGTTATTTGAAAAAGATAAATCTCATGAGTTGATGGCTCAGCTGCTCAGCTTTGTTATAATAAGTAGATACTTCTTTTCCTAAATTCCAAATGAATTTTGAAAAGGGAAATTTGAGATGTTACTTTCTCCATTGTAACAGAAGGTCAGTATCACTTTCATCCTTGTGTGAACTAAAAGGAATATTGGAGGGTTAGGAATTTCAAAAAGAACAATCACCTGGAGGTCTCCCTGCACTTTTGCAGGTAAGTCTACAAAGCCAATGCACCTAAGCATTTAAATGTCAATTTATCTCATGATGAAATGACACTTCTTTCGGCTCTTACTCTAGATGTTAATGACTTTAAAAAGACTAAGGGGTTTAAATTTTCCTAAGCAGTTCTGCAATTACAATGCTACATTTACATTCCAGGATACAGACAAGGCGTCCTTTCCAGCGGAGAAAGAATTTGTCATTTATGCCCACGGCACTGTCAGCGCAGGCGCCAGCGCTCCGGGGTCGGTAGCCCACGTTACCTGCTGCAGCATGACGGCCTGCTGCTGCTGGAGAAGGGCCTGGAGCTGCTGCGGGGACAGGACTTGCTGCTGGAGGATCTGCTGCATCTGCTGAGGGGTGATCACCTGGGGCGTCATCATGGCCACCGACACAGGCACCTTAATGGGGACAGACGCGGGAAGAGCGGGTGTCACCAGACGCCGACCAGCTTCGGAGCCCTCTGGCATCTCTACCAAACCCTTTCTTAATGATGACCAACCAGGCTTATAGAATTTCTGTTATATTATCTAACTATTGAATAATGGCATTAAGGTACCACAGTATTTAGACACTGGGTTTTCAAAGGCATCAGATATTATCAGATTCCACCTCTTATGTATTATGCTAAGATGTATTGCTTTGACTAGCATAGTTAGAAATAAATAATAACATGTCAGCTTTCTCAATACTTCATAATAATCTTTACCAATGGCACAGTGCTACAAGTTAAAAACCTTTTGAAATAGTTTACTGGTATGATTAAGATAGATGTAATAATGATTAAACAACTGGAAAAATACACATTTAAATATCTGTTATCAAAGCTAGTAAAAAGAATGTATGTGCAGTGTACTTACTCATAAAATAGAACCACCATCTTCAAATTATATATATATATATACATATATATATATATATGTTATACTTAGTACTAGAAAAATATACACAGTAATATATATTACTACATGAGTACATATAGTAACTAATATAGGATATTTGTTTATTTACCTATACACCCCCAGAAAATAGCTACACATATAGGTCCTCTCAAAGAAAGAATCTTAAATTTAATATTATAGCTTATCCTTTAAGCATTTTCTTATTTCAAGCTAACTAAACTTATACCAGGAAGTCCGGAAATATAAAGATTACTCAATGGCTATTCATTAATTTGAAAAAAAGTTAAGGTATTTTGCTCAAAATGTCCTTTCTACCATTTACTTCCCTTTCAAAAGTTGTGAAAATTAAAGAGCTGAAAAGGATATGAGGAGAGTGAGAAAGAAATAGAACAGAAAAATGAAGCAAGGAAAATGCAAAGTAAGGGAAAAGCAGGGAGAAAGTCTGAGAGAAAGTCTGTGGAGAGACAGGTAAAGGTAAAGGCTGCCAAAAGAGGTGAACAAGGAAGCCTCCTGCACAGAAGCCTGAGGTATCCATCTGCTCAACCGGATGGTAGTCACACTCTATGAAGACATTGCTTATACTAATCAGTAATCAGACAACTTGTCAACTTGGCAAGTTTGCAAACTTTGAAAAAGCAATCACTTTCTTTCCTAGAAAAAACGATTCATTTTTACTGTAAATAAAAGCAAGTATTTATATAAACACTGCTTTTGAACAAATTCTTAGAACAACATGTCTTTGAAAAGAGAAAAAAAGAACCATAGACATGGTTCACAAGTTATCCTGAGTCATTTTTAACACAGTTCAAACTCTTTGAGTTTGGCACTTTATGTCATAAAGAAAGGAGAAATTAATAATGAAAACAAATTTAGAAGGAAAAAAAAAGAAATTCAGGGTGAATTAACTCCTCTCTCTCTCAAAAGAAGAGAAACACTTATACTTCATATTTCATACTAAAGAAAGAATATTTTCTACTTTGCTATCTTGAAATATGGATTCATTACATATCATTTTGTAACAAGAAGGGAAAGGATCATGGAATAACAGAAAGGAACTCAAAAATGATTTTAAAAAATGTTCCTGAATTTTTTAGAACATACTCTCATACCTTTAGATTACTGTACTTGAAAATATCATAAGGCTTTCTGAAATGTATGCTATAAAATTAACTGGGCCAATAGGTGTCGATCTGTTGAAAAATTTAACGGACAGTTTGCTTAATTGTTCTTTGATAAAAAGAAATGGTTAGAAAATAGTTTGGGAAAAAAAAAATCTATATACAAAAAAGCCTTTTGTTCCAGTAATCATTTGCCTCATACTGTCTCCAAATAACAAGGAATCAAACTGAAATGAAAGAACAGAGAAAGAGAAGTTAACTTTTAAAAGGGTTGCCAATTCAGATAAACAGATAAGTCGGTAGCTAGATCACATATACGCAGGCAGTTCGACACATACGTAGATACCTTCTATAAAGTCTATCATGTGATGAGAAGCTTGCCACATCTCTTACCACTTTTGAGCATATGGAACGCTTTCACTTAAATGATATCTGTTTGCAAACAAAAGTACATTATGTGTAACTGATAACAAATGTACTTGGTAATAAAAGTTTTATGAATGCAATAATACAATGCAAGTTTTCAGTCAGGTTTCACCTTATATAAATTATATTACCCTATGTCTTTTGTTCCTAGTCTGACTGATTTGATGTATAAGCAAGGCTTAAACAAGTTTTCTATCTTTGCATTCTTTAGAGATCATTAGCCCTTTCACCTTGGAGAAGGAAATGGCAACCCACTCCAGTGTTCTTGCCTGGAGAATCCCAGGGATGGGGAGCCTGGTGGGCTGCCGTCTATGGGGTTGCACAGAGTCGGACACGACTGAAGCGACTTAGCAGCAGCAGCAGCAGCCCTTTCACCATGGTTAAATTAACTGTTTAATTCTTAAAATGATTTGTGAGTGTTTTCCTTACATTTAAAAGTTAATGACATAAATAACCATCAAATCAACGTTATTCTAAAATCCTATGTATCATAAATCTTAAATTTAATATTATAGCTTATCCTTTAAGCATTTTCTTATTTCAAGCTAACTAAACTTATACCAGGAAGTCCGGAAATATAAAGATTACTCAATGGCTATTCATTAATTTGAAAAAAAGTTAAGGTATTTTGCTCAAAATGTCCTTTCTACCATTTACTTCCCTTTCAAAAGTTGTGAAAATTAAAGAGCTGAAAAGGATATGAGGAGAGTGAGAAAGAAATAGAACAGAAAAATGAAGCAAGGAAAATGCAAAGTAAGGGAAAAGCAGGGAGAAAGTCTGAGAGAAGGTCTGTGGAGAGACAGGTAAAGGTAAAGGCTGCCAAAAGAGGTGAACAAGGAATCCTCCTGCACAGAAGCCTGAGGTATCCATCTGCTCAACCGGATGGTAGTCACACTCTATGAAGACATTGCTTATACTAATCAGTAATCAGACAACTTGTCAACTTGGCAAGTTTGCAAACTTTGAAAAAGCAATCACTTTCTTTCCTAGAAAAAACGATTCATTTTTACTGTAAATAAAAGCAAGTATTTATATAAACACTGTTTTTGAACAAATTCTTAGAACAACATGTCTTTGAAAAGAGAAAAAAAGAACCATAGACATGGTTCACAAGTTATCCTGAGTCATTTTTAACACAGTTCAAACTCTTTGAGTTTGGCACTTTATGTCATAAAGAAAGGAGAAATTAATAATGAAAACAAATTTAGAAGGAAAAAAAAAGAAATTCAGGGTGAATTAACTCCTCTCTCTCTCAAAAGAAGAGAAACACTTATACTTCATATTTCATACTAAAGAAAGAATATTTTCTACTTTGCTATCTTGAAATATGGATTCATTACATATCATTTTGTAACAAGAAGGGAAAGGATCATGGAATAACAGAAAGGAACTCAAAAATGATTTTAAAAAATGTTCCTGAATTTTTTAGAACATACTCTCATACCTTTAGATTACTGTACTTGAAAATATCATAAGGCTTTCTGAAATGTATGCTATAAAATTAACTGGGCCAATAGGTGTCGATCTGTTGAAAAATTTAACGGACAGTTTGCTTAATTGTTCTTTGATAAAAAGAAATGGTTAGAAAATAGTTTGGGAAAAAAAAAATCTATATACAAAAAAGCCTTTTGTTCCAGTAATCATTTGCCTCATACTGTCTCCAAATAACAAGGAATCAAACTGAAATGAAAGAACAGAGAAAGAGAAGTTAACTTTTAAAAGGGTTGCCAATTCAGATAAACAGATAAGTCGGTAGCTAGATCACATATACGCAGGCAGTTCGACACATACGTAGATACCTTCTATAAAGTCTATCATGTGATGAGAAGCTTGCCACATCTCTTACCACTTTTGAGCATATGGAACGCTTTCACTTAAATGATATCTGTTTGCAAACAAAAGTACATTATGTGTAACTGATAACAAATGTACTTGGTAATAAAAGTTTTATGAATGCAATAATACAATGCAAGTTTTCAGTCAGGTTTCACCTTATATAAATTATATTACCCTATGTCTTTTGTTCCTAGTCTGACTGATTTGATGTATAAGCAAGGCTTAAACAAGTTTTCTATCTTTGCATTCTTTAGAGATCATTAGCCCTTTCACCTTGGAGAAGGAAATGGCAACCCACTCCAGTGTTCTTGCCTGGAGAATCCCAGGGATGGGGAGCCTGGTGGGCTGCCGTCTATGGGGTTGCACAGAGTCGGACACGACTGAAGCGACTTCGCAGCAGCAGCAGCAGCCCTTTCACCATGGTTAAATTAACTGTTTAATTCTTAAAATGATTTGTGAGTGTTTTCCTTACATTTAAAAGTTAATGACATAAATAACCATCAAATCAACGTTATTCTAAAATCCTATGTATCATACTTATGTGATATTCTGAAAATGTTAAGCATTTTCTGACTTACTATCTAGGACACTGCCATCTAAAATTGGCAAAATACAGATATAAAGATGGATATGTAGGGGGAAAAAAGGCAACTAACTGAGCATTCTACTTCCATATGAACTAAACACAGGCTGTAATTATATTTATAGGAAAGCACAAGTGCACTTCTGAGGGATTTCTAACATTACAAATAAGCCAATACTATCACCTGTAAATCCACATTACATAAACTCATCCAAAATAAAACATTTGGGGCTACTAAAAATTAAAAATATTTTATTAAATAGAAAATTCATTTCTCCTACAACAAATGTCAATTGCTCCACTGGCCTTGTTTAGAATATGCAGAATTTCTCCACTTTTAAGTGAAACATTCTAAGTTACACATTTCCTTTATTCTTCCTTTATCACTTTTGTTACTGTTACATTGCATTTTTTTGCTACTGCAAGCTACTTTAGGGATTCACTGACAAAGATGAATAGAGATTAACTGAGTACATAACATTTTTTGAAGATTATGCCACTTTATCAATATTTAAGCAGGTAAAAAGAGCATCAGA